TATTTAGAAGCGGGAGTTAAGGGAGTTCCTCTGCTCTGTTCTTCCAGACATAACAAGTCTTCTAGGAGTAACAGTTTACACTTAACCTGCAGCAGTGATTCAAGAGCTCAAGAGAAGTGGGAGTAACAGCTTTCCTTCTGACAAGCTCAGGTGAGAAGGTAGAAGAGACAGCAAAAAGAACAATGTTAATTAAAATATTCCTGTTACTTCCTTGTACACATTTGAGCATGTGTGAATTCTATGCTTGGAAAATCAATGATTACATGGACAGCAATTGCTTTTCTAAGTACTTCAATAACTGTATCTTAGCACAGCAAAGTGGAGTTCTGACTGCTAAACATAATTTAGAGATATGAGGGTAGTCCATTAGAAGTTTCTTTCACGGCAGCTTACTATTATTATTGCCCTTTCCTTAAATTCCCCTAGAGTTTTCTGGTTCAGGAAAGAAAAAGACGCTCATTTTTAGGACTACTGTAAAATATCACAGAGAAAAAAAAGAAACATAACTGATGGAAAAAAAAGAAAAAAAGCATCAGTTTTCCCTAAGAGGCCTTAAAAAACCCCTTCCCTTAGGAACAGGGACCTTACTTTTTTTTGCTTTTTCTTTTAAGCTGCATCTGTTTACCAGCATTCAAGAAATGGACCAGCCCAACAATTCATCACTCAGTAGTAATGCTGCATAAAAAGATGCCATAGTGAATTTTTTCCAGATCTATCAGAAGACTGTTTTCATTTGGCACTGCCTCACTTTCAAAGTGCAGGACACAAACTTGACCAAGACTTTCATCAAGCAGTGCATGTTGCAAAACTCAGAAATAAATATATATATATAAATAAATAAATAACCCATGAAATTGTTGATATAGAAAAGAATCATAGAATCAACAGGATTGGAAAAGACCTCCAAGATCATCCAGTGCGATCATCCACCTACCACCAATGTTTCCCCACTAAACCCTGTCCCTTAGTACATCTAAACATATCTTGAACACTTCCAAGGAAGAAGAAGGTACAAAATACATTTTATCTTATTAATCCTTTACATCGCTACTTAGGTTTTATTATCATAGAATCACAGGATCATAAAACGGTTTGGGTGGGAAGGGACCTTTAAAATCATGTCGTTCCAGCCCCCTGCTATAGGCAGGGACACCTCCCTCTAGACCAGGTTGCTCAAAATCCCATCCAGCCTGGCTTTGGATGCTTCCATGGAGGGGGCATCCACAGCCTCGCTGGGCAATCTGTTCCAGTGTCTCACCACATTCTACCACCACCTTATGGATGGTTCCTCTGATTTGTGGTCAGATGTAGAGCAGCTGTGGCTCTGTATTTTTTGAGACACACAAGGATTCACAATATATTACAGTAATGGATAACAGCTTTTCTTTTCTTTTTATTTTGTAACTACTGACTTTCAGATTATCAAACTTACTATATCCCATGTAGCAGAGCAACTGTTGGCTCTGCACTTAGATACAGGGTAGTAATATCCTCACTTCAAACATTTGTGCAGTCATTTAGCTGCTTTCAGTGGTGGGCGAGCGTGGTCTCTGCAGCAATGAAAAGCACTGAGAGTCTGATACTGAGCTAGCAGACTGATTCCTCACAGTCTGCTGTGTCTGAAGTGTGAAGAGCTCTAACTGGGGTCTACTATTTTGTAATTATCATTTTACAAATATACTAGAGTGAAAATGCATATCAGAGTAATTAAGAGATACACAGTGTAATAGCAATGTTCTCTCATGATTTCCTGAATTTTTCCCCCCTCTTCCTATTTTCTGCCTGCATCTTTTCCACCCCTTTTTTTTTTTTTTTTTTTTTTTTTTGAATAGCATTACTCTTCTATGCTCATAACACCATATAAGAAAACTGTGGGAAGTGGGAGCTTTGAACACAGTGATTCAAAATCCAGGCAACCAGGGGATGCCTTGGTTTCAGACCCTGTATCTAGGGGAGGTGGGTTAAGAAAAAACTTTTTTTTTTTAAAGTCTCATTCAAATATAGTTTGCAATGGTGAAAAAGCAATTAACCCCCTGTTTTTTCAAACTTGCACTCCATATTCCAGGTTAAATCTAAATCCGATCTGAATGTAATTCCTCAGCCCTCCTGAACATTATACTGAAAGAGCACTTACATTTATATTACTTTTTATCAGGAAGAAGAAAGGCACTTCAGAAAGTACATAACTGCTCCACTGAGGGCAATGCAGGCAAATCTGGAGCGATGTTTTTTCTTCATTTTCTTTGCATTCTAATTATCGATGCTTTTATTTACTAAAGTTACAGAGAGGACTTGTCTATTACAAGCTCTGAAATCTCATTTTGCTAAAATGAAAACATGTTTCAAATGCTTTGGAGAACTATTAAGATTATTGAATGTCTTGCATACTGCTTCAAGTCTCAGAGTGGTTCACTAGACCCCTGGGGAACAGACAAGCAGCATACAATTATCGCAGTAATTAAAAAGGTGCAATGACTCTTCTCTTAAAGACTCCCGTTTTATTAATTCTATGGTATGCTTTGGAGACTGGCATTATTTTACTCCTACCCAGCTTAATTATACCTTCATTAGTTTATCAGCATCTCTTTTTAACCCCTTGGGCCAGTTATTAGCATGTCACTTGCTAACAGTTAACCAATAACCACTACACCTTCAAAGCAGTATCTTCTGCTATAAAAAAGCCAATTTGTAGAGACTGTTTTAATACCATCTTCCAATTTAAATTTTCCAGTCAGACATCGCTTTCTGCTTTTAATTTAAGAGGGCTACTGTTTAGGTTAATGAAAACACAAATAATGCTGATGTATTACAAGACTTTACCAGGTAATAAAATACTTCCAGTACATATTGTTTTTATGAGGCTGAACGCATGTTTTAATACTCAACAGTATGTACCACTGCAGTGAATAGAAAGCATATGATGCTCTTAAATACAGCTAAAATTCTGGATTTCTTCCTATGTTCTGGGTCCCACTGGGATGGAGTTAGTTTGCCTGCCTGGCCTTCAGGCTTTCTATTTTCCCACTTCTCTTCTGCAGCAAATAGACTGTGGGCGGGCAGGAGGGGACATAGCTGGGACAGTTGACCTAAACCAAAAAAATCCACACTGTATGATGGCACAGTTAGCAACAAAAGTTCCATGAAAGGAGGAAGGGAGGATGTCCATATGGGATTATGCAGTTTGTTTTCCCAAGTAAACATTAAGTGGGCCAAGCCCCCTCCTCCCTCCCCTTTTTTTTTCCCAGAAAGTACCTAACTATGTGACTGCTGTGAAATAGTGATGTGAAATAGTGAATAAATATCTCATTTGCCTTCCCTGCACACACAGCTTCTGCTTCACCTATCAGACTATTTTTATGCCAACCCTCAAGTCTTCTTGCCCCCTTCTATGTTTTTCCGGTCTGCAGCAGAGGTGATGAAGCAAGCAGCTGTGGGGGTGCTTGGCTGCTGACCATCTCTTCACTTTTAGTGCAAACAGCTCATGTGCACAGCACCATTTGTTACAGTATCTCATCATACAAGAAGATAATCAAAATATGTGTAAAAAGTGGCTTAATTTTAAAATATATGCAGTACGTCAGTACTAAATATATACATATCTTGTGTAGACAGATAATTTTACATTATTATGAAAGGCACAGCGACCTAGAAATGTTCCTGAGGGGTACTCTAATTAATTTTTATACCCTAGTTTTGACTAAACTGTTGTTACTTTAGTCTTATAAAGAAAGTCTGACAAATACTGAAGATAGCTATGTTGTATTTACTTTTAGTATTTTTCATTAAATACGGCTTTCCAACAATGAAAAGAAGAAAGAAACTACAAAGAATATCATCTAGTTAGCACTTATATAAGCTTGCATCTTCAAAGCTGGGATTCTGAAAGCAGCCACTTTTTACTCCATATCTGGAATCACACCAATCAGTTCAACTGAAATAATATTCAGCCACGGGTAGATTGCCAACTGACTTTATGAACTGTAACTTTACTTCCATATGCCATGGAAATGCACCACTATTTCTGTTTAAACATATAAATTCTCTTAGTATCATTTAAAAGACAAGGAATATCCATCAGTTCTTTAAATTATTAGGATCAATAAGCTAATACCATTTGCTCAGTCACATTTCTTCTAGGTATACTTTTATCAATCTTACAGCAGCAGAAAAGAGGATTCAAAATACTGGGGAAAAACATTAATGACAAAAAAAAAATCCAGGTCACAATCTACTCTATTATTTTGGAGCAGCTGAATCCCAAATTAATATCACCTCTACTCTTTCCTTGTTTTTTTTCCTTCATATAATAGGTCCTCTCTGTATCTTTCTCAAGTCAGAGGTCAGCACTATCAATTATATCATCCAAAACAGAAGCCGAGATCGCTGTGCAACACAACAGATCACACCATCTTATTTAATGACAAGACATGATGTCAGTCACCCAAGAAAGCAGTCCTCTTCCAAAATTTATCTGCTAACTGAGACATAGTCTTTGCTGTTACAGAGGATCTCTTTCCACTTTATCTACAAATTTGATAAACCTGACATTAAAAAAAGGAAAAATAAACTTTATTCAAAACAAACAAAACTGTTCACAAGCTTGTGATGGTAGCAAAAAAAAAAAAAAAAGGGGAAAAAAAAGGAAAAAAAAAGGAAAAATAATAATAGTACAGAGAAACCAACCTGTCTTCCCAAACCCACACTTACAAGAGCAGAGCATAATGAAAGGAAAAATGTTCAGTGGAATACTGCATACCCAACAGTAAAAGTTGCTCACTACAGCACTCTACTCCGATCACTTTAAGGCATAAACAAGTATGATTTGATCCACAAAATACTGTGGCACTGAAGTCATCTTGGCTATCAGAAGCTAAGATGTTATACTTAGAAATATTCAGCCATACTTCCTGCAACGTTTCAGTTTAAAACTGATAATAAAATAACTTGTTTTCAACTCTAGAGCAACGCTTGCAACTTTCCAATCACTTCCAAGTACTCACCAGCACATTTCGTTCTTGTTTTGAGAGCTGGCCCAGGAGATCCAGTTCCTCCTTCGCCCGGTCTTGTAAGTAACACACTGATCTCATATTCTGTGTCAGGATCCAGGTGTCCAATCTTATAGCTTGTGGAGTCCACAGGTTGTATGTCATACCAGCTTCCACTTGAAGTTCGATACTCAACTTCCCTTTGAATAATGGGTCCGTCTCCATTGATGGAATTGGCATTCAACTGTATCCACAAGTAAGTTGCACCAACTGAGGACAGCTGAGGTGGAGCAATAGGAACTGGTGGCTCTGAAACACAGTAAGTCACCAAAAGCAGCTGTGATTATACAGATATTTTTTTCTATATTCTAAGATATTCAAACAATGGATTTCATACTATATTAGAGCTGAAGACTGCATAAAAATGCAGCTACGAAGAAACTGTTATTACAGATTATCTTACTTGTTTTCCTTAAATTGCAATATGCAAAGCCTTCTCCTTAAGCATCTAGAGATTTTAACCCGAAGCTTATGGTCTGTGCTGCATAACTTCATACTGTGTGTGCCTTGAGTTCTCCTATTCACTTGATATTAAATGGTATCTTTTAACTTTCAATTTAAAATGAAAGCTGACCTCATGTTTCCTTATCAAAACACAATTCTTACTGGATGTTAATATAAAGCCTATCAGAAATAACATTTTAAAGTTAAAATACATATTTTAGTCTATTCTTAAACCTAAAGTGACTTCTGTCTGAAAACAAAATTAATTATTTTCATTATTTTTCATGGACTGCAATACCCAGTCTTCAGAATTCCATGTAAGCAGAATAAATACAGTATTTTTTAAGTTCTATATCCTGGTTAAGCAGAAAGAGCTTCTAAATGAGAGCTGCGGGAATTCTCAAGTCTACTATTTCATGTAATGGCTTATTTCCACTAATGCACAGAAGCAACATTCTGTCTCACTAAGGAAGCATACATGTGATCTTAAGATAGTTTGCATTCCAAAGACATTAAAAGTAAGATTTTAAAACTTCTTTTAATTATTATATAATGGACATCTTATTTTAAATTAAGACTACAGAAATAATTTGCAGGCATCATTTCTTTTTAAAGCTAAATAACACATTCACTTTTTCCCTACTGATTAACCACAGAATTACTCTGCTGTTTCAAGCATCGCATCTACATAAAATTCCCTTTCCCAATGGTTAAATACATTCAAGTAGAATGAAACCAAGCTGTTGAAATAAGGCAGTGTTTGATCCAATATTCTTAACATATCTATCAGCAAACACTGCCACCTTCTTAAGGCTATGAAGAATACTTAATAAAAGCAGAACATTTGTCTTCCCTACGCTGTAGATTCAGATTTATCCTCTTCTGCTAATCACTTCCCCAAGCGTTGAGCTACAGGTAGTCAAACAGAAAAGAAGATCAATTTATATATTTCATCATTCTCCCAAGAACTTTGAAGCCAAACTTAAAGCAAAGAATGTAAAAGAATGAAGTGCTGGGGAGAAAGGAACTCTGGAAATAAGAACTAATATTTCCCAAGAAATAGCAGATAGCTATTTTAACAAACACATAATTGCCCTACAGATGCCACTTTCTCCTGTTTTTGTTTTTGTTTTTTTTTCCTCACTAACAGAAAGAGCATTCAACTCACAGAGCACTGACTATTCTGAAGATCACCTATGATCTTCACAGAACAGTGGTGTTTCTAATTAGCGATGTATATTTTTACATAAACTTTAATCTGTGCAACCTGCTAGCAATTGCTGAAACATGACATCACGAAGTTGCAAACACAGGTGTTTACACTACACTTTTTCATCTTAATAAAATTAATTGATTACCATCAAGAAGAATACAATACAGTTGGCAACAATCTGGAATGTTTCCAAAGATGTCTACTAATTATTACTGACTGGAATAGAGATAATGATGGATTAAATATATTCCACTGCATAGAGGCAGAAGGAATCTTGTTTACTTTTTCAGATCACTAAGGAAAACACTGTTACAAGCCAGTAGCAATGTATGGCAAACCCGTGGCAGCTTTTGGTTAACACATATTGCAGCTTCCTTGAAAACAGAGCTCCTGATGTATAGAAACGATGGCTTCATATGATAGTGTGCCTGGAAACCATTCTGACTTGACACAAAATGATTTAGCATCAATTTAAATCATTAGGCTGTTTTGTGAACCAAGACATGAAATGGAACTTTTATAGAGCATCCTAAGGCATTTACTTAGCCATGCTGAAAGAACAGTTAATTACTTTCAAGTTTCAAATGCTACTAAGGGCTGCTGAAGTTCCATTCAAAATGCGAACTCAGGAGTTAGGTCGCTAAGGTTAGTGGTTACACCAATTCATTCCAAGTATTACAAGTACTTGCAGTAGTATTTTATCATCTTTTTATCCCTTGGGGCATGTTTTTCATTCCTTTGTGGCCAAAGTGCAAAAGGTTAATTCAAGTTGCATGATTTCAGCAAAGCTTGCATTGGGTACAGTTTGTTTAATACTGGATGTGTAGTTTAATACTACAAGCAGTCCTTTTATTGGAGATCAAAGTTACATAGAATGAAACTTTCACTGTAAATAGGATGCTCCTCATTAAGTGACTGCTTAAAAACATGACCATACACTTTTATACAAATGGTGTAATATCAAAAAGCTGGTTCTTCCATTAGTCAGAATTAGTCTTTTTTTTTTTTAAGGATGCTGAGAAATTTGAATCACATAGAAAAAGTACCAGAATGCATGATCACTATCTTTCAAAGAAAACAGTTTCACTGATGGCCACTGAGGCAGTGTCAAATAAATACCATTGAAAATTGTTTTTTGATTAGTATCTTTATAAACATGGCTCAATAGACCTGTCTCTCTGTAGCCATGTACAATCAGGGAAAAATTTCAACTGACTGCAGAAGATGGAAAATTACAACAATAGCACTTTAATATGATAGTTTAAAGAGTTCTTGTAGATCTCTTTTGTAACAGAACAGATGTAGATAAAGCCATTCAATAAATCCTTTAAAGATAAGTTTTAAACAGATATTAATTAAGGAAAGAAAAAAAAAAGTTTATTCATAAGTTTCCAGAAATTCAATGCTTTTCACACTTTAGACAGACAAGTGATCTGTTCCTGAATTTTGAGATGAAGGTCTACGGGCAAAATCCCTTATAGAAATAAAATACTGGCCACCTTACAAAAAGCCAGACATGTCAGAGTCCAATGGCTGCAGATACGAAAAATGTTTTAGGCAGATCCTTTTAACGTCACCCTACATTGATTCAATCAATTACAGTAAGAGAAAAAGACAAAATCCTATCAGGAGGAGTCTCTCTCGTACAGAGGATAGAAAACTAAGCCACAGATGCATAGAAATCATTTTTTCTTATGCACTTCTACATTAGTTGCAAACATCCTTGTAAGAGCAGCTCTTTTATTTACATCGCTCTGTGCTTTAACTTATACAGAACTTCTGAACATTTTCTTCAAGATCCTAACATCTTGCAATTCTTTTAAAATTTTAATAGGAAGGGGAAAGATATCAAACTGAGATGCCAGTGGAGATAATGTAAATCTCAGAGATTTAACTGATTTATAAAACACACAAAAATAGGCATTTATTGTCTGGGGCCCAGAAGAACTCACTTGAAGCATGGAAAATCTACTCTGGTAGTAGCAGTAATTTTATTTATTTTTCAAGTAAGAAATGTGGAGAATAGAGCCATGCTACATTTCGAGGAAAGAAATATCTATCCTGCAAGCTAATTTTAATTCAACAGTGACTATTAGAGAATGACATGATAAACCCACGCAATATTATTTAGCACATAATGAGTACATGATGTAAATGATGGTAAAACAGGACATCAATCATCTCTGATGCTATTTCCACATTAATAACTTATTATATAATTACAATTCTTATTAAACTAATAATTGTCTTGAAATCAACTAAATCAGCTTTATGTATACAACTATACATACACAACTACATGTGTAGTTACGTTTATCTATATATGAGCATACAGACTGCTGTGCTCATCTTCAGACCAAGCAAACCATAGTGGTCCTTTGGAAACAGTGTAGAGCAATGCCATTTTACAGCACTAAATTGCAAGGTAACAAGTTTTCCCATTGAGAAAACAGAAAAGCAGTGATTTTGAAACACCACAATTCTTTGCATAGTACTTATTCAAAAAAAGTCTTTATGTAACTCCTACCAAAGTATTTAACTATAAAAAAGAATATTGAAATTTAACAACATCTATAAGCACTATGATAAATAACATTAATACATTTTATATTATCCCTTTTTTTTTGAGAACATTTCAGATGAAAACTTGACAAGAACTAGTACTCTAATGCTATCAAACTTTTAAATTCATCATTTTAGAAAATGTCATTGTTATAATTTATTTTGAAATGTTACAGAATGTTTCAGCACCCTTACACAATACAGTATGCAGGTACAATCTGACTAGCTGGACATTCATAAATAGCCTGCAAAACTGTGCATTGTTATTGTTCTCCATCCTTAATTAGGCACAGACTGTTATTTTCTCCCAAACCCAGTCACTCTGATCACCATCTGTCTGTTTTAAGCCAGCAGCACCTCAACCTTTACTGCTCTCACTTCATCCTCATCTGCCAACCTGATCAGCCTGAAGCCATCCAGCCTTTCTGTTCTCCCACTTGCTCTGACTTTTTTTTTTTTTTTTTTTTTTGCCATCTGGAAAATTCCAGATTCCAAATGGTCACCATCTTGGTCACCATCTTCACATTCTAAATATCTCTGAATTCCCATTCTGATTTGTTGCTTGTTTACTTAGGCTGTATCTAAAAGCTGTGTCTGCTCCTATTCTTCTAACCAAGCTTCTCTCTAACATCTGCCATTTCCTCCTGCACTTCCATTCCAGGGCTTTCCAGCCAATTTCCTTTTCCACTGGCCTCTGCCTCCAGTCTCACTCCTACACACATATACATGGTTACACAAACACACAAGAATTTACATGTCTCTATAAGCATGGATCGATGTTTCTGTTCCAGCCTTGGTTTTCTCTCTCTCTCCTCCTAGTTCTCAGTACTCATGTAGCCCCAGTTTTCATTTACCTCCCTCCTCAAAACACCTCCCAGTTTGCCATTCTTTTCAGTCCCAATTCTAACAACCTCATCTAAATGTGCAGCTCCTTGCTCCTGCATCACTTGTGACCCTAATCATGCCCATTTTTGCTTCACAGTACAACTTCAGGGAGGTGGAGAGCTGCACAACAAAAGCATGGGAGTGA